TTCATTTTGAAGTGAAAAATTTCTTTGATGAAGTATTTTACAAGAAATTTTGGCCAGCTGCTGGGTGTGGTGGGTCATGTCTGTAATCCTAGCCTGGGCAAAAAGCTAGCAAGACTCCTATCTCAACCAATGAGTTGGGCTTGGTGGTGCATACCTGTCATCCCAGCTACAGGGGAGGCACAGGCAAAAATGGATAACCCTATCTAAAAAGTAACTAAGGAAAAAAAGGGATGGGGGTGCAGCTTAAGTGGTAGCATACCTGTCTAACAAACATGAGGTCCTGGGTTCAAATCCCAGACTAGCAAAAAAATAAAAAAAATTTAAAACAGGAAGAAAAGAATTTTTGGCTACCAAATACAACTTAAAACATAAAGAAAAATATATCATCAAGCTAGGTGTGGTTGGCATACACACTTGGAGGTTGAGGCAGGAGGATCATCTGCTCAAGCTCAAGGTCTGTGTGAGCTACATAGTGAGACCCTCAAAAAAAGAAAATACCATAGGTCTTTATGCCACAAGCTACTGTTTGAATAAAGATGCTGTCTTTTAGTTTGCAAATGTTATTACTGTTAAAATTAAAGAGGTCACTTTACTCATACAAGATAATCATACACCACCAAAATGGGCAATTATTTGTTAAAAGAAAGATGTATTTCTGGACTGGCTAACAAAACTGATTCAGGAAGAATTCAGTCCAATCTAAATGTAAGTGTTTACTTTCCCTTATAACTTACACTATTCAACCCAAGTTATGCCCAAGAAAACAGCAGGCTTACTGATTTCACATCAGGTTTTTTCTCCTTTGTTCATTTCTGAAGTATAGCTGGTACTTAGTAAATTATCAACTGGGATGGCAGGGTCAAAATTCATTAGGTCTTCAGGGACCAGAGTGGTACATGTATGAATAAATGGAGGTCCATATAAGACAATAGGGAGTGGCAGGGCCACTGAACAAGACAAGCAACAAAAACAAAAAGAGACAAACAAGCCTCCTCCAGGTTTGCTTGGTCCCTGGTTCTTACTCTTTTTTTGCTTCCATGTTTTTGAGCAATGACATCTCTCATTAGTGATCTCAAGGGACAGAAATGGGATGGGTAGAGAAGAGGAGATCTGGCACACTTCTTCCTTCCTTTCTACTTTGAGGATCTCTGAACTACAGCAACCACCAGATTAACTGCTTCCAAAAACAAAGACTCATGAATGGTGATAAATAAACAAAAGCAAAAACAAACAAAACAAAACAAAAGCCCCAATCCTGACACACTCTGGTTCTGCATAGTTACAAAGTACTGAGTTTTTATTTCTTTAGCAGAGTATAAACCACAGGAATTCTTGTGTATACCTCTGTAAATTATTTATTTTAATGCCCTATTACAGAGAGATACAAAAGAAATTAGGCCAAAAATTTGCACTATAAGGTCTACTTTCATGCTGAAAATTATAAAAATTACTGGAAACAGCTTAACATATTTGTTTATAAACCTTATATACAGAAAACTGAGAAAGTTATTACATTAAAATTAATTTAAAAAACATTCCTAGAAGATCAGATTAATATAGAATACAAACAATAGTTCCCATTTTTAATCAAGATAAAGCACAATTAAATTTGTGTTTTTATAAATTCTGTTAAAGAACTAACATACAAATAAAGAATAGCATTATAACTTAAGGAAAATGAATTATGCCTTAGAAGAATGAAGTATGAATTAAATTAGAATTTAAAAACCACCAATAAAAATAAAAGACACATTGTGGACTAGTACTTTACGTTAGAAACCACATGAAACCATTTGTCCTCTGTGATAATTTCAGTAAAGATCAACTACTTTCTCATGTTTGCTGATATTTTATTGTTACTTAAAAAAATAACAAATATAGAGCTACCCATATCTCAAAAAGTAATTTCTGTAAAACTAGGGCTCAAACCTTGGCAAATTATATTAAAAACTGCTTTAACTTTCACTTTCTTCAGAATAAAAGGCAGGCAAATGTTACCTACCTGTTAGGGTTACTGTGATGAATGAGTACTTGAGACTGGGATGTGTAAAGCACTTACAGTGCACAACAAATGATAAATATTATAATTATCTGACCACTCTGATGCCAACTTGGTAACACTTCTTTATACAGTTCTGTGCCATACCTCTGTCGGAACATCATAGCTGGGTCCATGTTAGCAGAAGTCATTCGGACAACTTGACGAATTTCCTTAGCAATCATTCTTAGCTTCTCAAAGTTTACTAAACCATCTACTTTGGAGTCATTTCCTATAGAAAACAAGTAACTTTTTTAACTTTCAAAATCAATATATCTTAAAGCAGCAGAAGTCAAGCTGTTACTCTTGGGGAGTACAAATGAGAGCTTTCTTTAAAAAAAAAAGTCCAGGTATTACTATCATTTTACTTGGCAATACTGGAGTTTGAACTCAGGGTCTTGTGCTTGCTAAGCAAGTGCTCTACCATTTGAGCCACTCCCCAGTCCCAGACTTTTCTTTATCAAAGCTACAATTTTATTTTTAATGACTGTTTTACCCAAAGAGGCTCTACCCTCGTTCTAGAGAATGAGCTCCTGAGAGAAACTATGTTCCCTATGAGAGTAATGATTATGCATACAGAAAAGAGGTAAACTGTGCATGACTACTAAAAACCACTCTCATTATCTATAGGCACACATGAAATGTGCAGTCACTCAACTCTGTCTGTGCAGATGCTTAGCCCATTCTCAGCAGACACCTATAAATATAGGTACAGCAAGGGTACCTTAGGCTAGTCAGTGGTCACAAAGGCTTATTTATTAACCTAACGTGAGTTTTCTTTGGTTTATAATACTTGAAACATTGTCAAATGAACTATAATCACTTAAAAAGTACAAGATAGTCCAGAAAGGTATGGGGTGAGAGATTAAATAATATTGGGTTTGTTTTCCAAATGGCAATAACTAGTTAAAACTAAGAAGTGGTTGAACCAAACGCTGACAGGGAAAAGGTCTGGTGTTAAAAATTACCTCAAAAGTCTGGATGGTGGAGTGGCTCCAGGGGCAAGAGCACCTGCCTAGCAAGTATGAGTCCCTGAGTTCAAACCCCAGAGCTGCCATAAAAAAAAAAAAAAATTTCGGAGGTACACACTTTGAAAACACGTTTTAGATGAACAAAATTTGAGATTTCCATTACCAACAGACTTGCATTTAAGAGAATACTAGTATTCTATAGGCCAAATGAAAACAAAAAATAAACAAGCAAGTAAATAACCCCCAACCATAAAAAGCATGCAACCATAAGGAAACTGAAATGTAGGAATAAACAGCAACAACAAAAAGTAAATATACATATGAGATTAAATACTGACTTTCTTAAAAACAGTAATATATTGTGGGATTTAAAGGCGTAGAGTTTTCTCTTTTTCTTTTTTTGGTGGTACTGAGGTTTGAACTTAGAGCCTTGCATTTACTAGCCTAGAGATGAGTAAATGGAATTTAAGTTGTCTAAGTTTCTTCCATTGCCTGAATGATAAACCAGTACTGATAAATAAATGTTTAATTAGTATCACCAAATATACATGGCATAAAGCCTAGTGTAACACTAGAAAAATAGCAAAGTAGTAAATAGTTACTGAGTGAACAGAGTAGGAAAAATACCATTAGCACATACACACAAATCAATGCAGGTAGACTGCAAATAAACCATATGGTGAAGATCAATAAATGAGGCTTTAAAACCAAAAACATTAGTCAGGCACCGGTGGCTCACACCTGTAATCCTAGTTACTCAGGAGGCAAGGATCAGGAGGATTGTGGTTTGAAGCCAGCCCTGGCAAAATATTTGCAAGACCCTATCTTGAAAAAGTCCATCACAAAAAAGGGCTGGTGGAATGGCTCAAGGTATAGGCCCTGAGTTCAAATACCAGTATTAGAAAAAGAAAAACAAAACAAAATAAAAAACAAAAGGAAAAACCAAAACCTTTGTTCACCAAAAGATAACCTTAACAGAGTCAAAAGGAAGTCATATCATACTCAGGATGTATAAAAAAATTCTCAAAAAATACTGAACAAGAAAGACAACCTATGAAAAACGGGAAAGACACTCCTATAATCCTAGCCACTCAGGAGGCAGGGTTCAGGAGGATTGTGGTTCAAAGCCAGCCCGGGCAAATAGTTCTTGAGACCCTATGTTGAAAAACCCATTACAAAAGGGCTAGTGGAGTGGCTTAAGGTGCAGGCTCTGAGTTCAAACTCTAGTACTGCAAAAACAAAAACAAAAACAAAAAAACAAAACCCCCAAAACAGAACAAAACCACAACAAAAGAACAGGAAAGGAACTCAAACTGATAACAAGTAGATAACATAAGAGGGTGCTCAACCTCAATAGGGAAATGCAAATTATAGTCACACCAAGATAAAGCTACCTATTACAACATGTAAAATAACACCTGAGTTTACCAGGTGTTGGTGAGGATGAGGAGCATGGGAACCTTAATGCTGTTAGTGGATGCCTAATGGTTTTCCAAAGTTGATCATACAAATATCAGAATCCACAAATTCTACACTGAGTACATATGGCCAACAAAAAAAGCATATGCACAAAGGGGTATATACAAGAATATGCAGAGCAGCATTGTTCCGAACAGGTCAACAATGGAAACTACCAATTGCCCATCAACCAAATAGATGGGTCCATATATTGCACTGATACAATGGAATGCTAAATAGTTCTGAAAAACATGAAAGAACCTCACTAATCCAACATGACTAACATAAGCCAGAAAACAAATTATAAGAAAACAGATTATAATTCTATTTGTAAAATGTTCAAGAACAGTTAAAACTAAACTACAGCTTTAGGAGTCAGGACAGTAGTTACCTTTGGGGTAAGGAGGAAGGTAGTAATTGATCAGGGCTTCTGGGGTGCTTTAATATTTCATTTTGGGGTGTGGGTACAAAGGTGTTTGCTTTGTCAAATTTCATTAGTTTTTCATTTGTTTTGGACATTTTTTTTGTGTATGTGGAGTAATTCAATAAACAAAGATTGGAAAGAAAAATATTACTGAACAAAAAAAGCAAGTATGAGGCTGGCATTGTGGTGCACATCCTAGCACTCAGGAGAGACAGGAGGATCATGAACTTGAGACCAGCCTGGCTACATAACCAGACTCTGTCTCAAACATCCACCACCACCACTGATAGAACAATAATGTCGCCATGTTGTGAATCAGCCAAAATGGCAGCCCTGCCCTTAAACAAATTCCCACGCTCTAAGACAGCCCCACCCCTACCAGAGACTACTGCGCATGCCCTAACCTCCTTACCCTCCCCCTTCTATAAAAGCCAACTGCTCGTCCAGACTCTGGCTGCGCCATCTTTTCCCTGGCCAGCCTGGCAGCTTGGGCCTGCCATTAAACCTTGCTCTATGGACGTGAGCTTTCTCGTGAGCTTTCTTTGAGAGCTGCGTTTTTCCTAACAACCACCACCACAACAAAAGCATGTATGATCAAACAGTTTGATCTTTGTGTTTATATTTTGAATACAAACAGTTAAGCACTTCAATTTGTTTTTGTCAACAATGTAGCGTTTAGATGTCTAAAATTTGTTGCATGTAACTATGCTAAAGATTTAATAACATGTAATCATTATATTGGAATATATAGTAAGTCACAATGCTGTAGAGTTAGCTGAAGCAGAACACACTAATTTGAAAATAATTTTAAATACCTTCATGCAAAAATGTCATGTCTTTCTTGACGACAGGGAAGAGAGGGATAATTGGAGGCTGCATGCTCTGACTACTAAGGATATTTCTGTATTTTGCCATGTTTCTAGATGGGTCAAAAAGGTCCTGTAGATCTTGGAGATGTTTCTCATATTTGCTTGGTAATTTTTCCCAAGTACCTCTGAGTCGTGCTACAGGTGCCAGGTTCAAGCCACTGCCAAAAATGAGAATAAAAGCATTAAAAAGTAACTTGGAGGAGTGGTGGACTCAAGTTAGTAAGTGTATATACCAAGGTTCTCTGATAATGCTCAAAAGAGCAGGACGTATCTTAACCAGTTGAAATAGAGAATAAAAAAAAATTAAGAAAAAGGCACTTCCTTAATCTTAAAACAAGGAGACTTCTTTCAAAGGTACTGTATTACTTACCTATAGTTGTATATCTACAGCCTTTGCTTTAGAATTTGTATGTACGTGGTAAATGTCATAATTTCATAAAATAAACATTTAATTTTCAGCCTGTTTTACTTAGAAGTAGTATTATAGAAATAATACATATTTGAAAAAATAGTTTAGGTAATGCCGAGAATGACTTAGTAATGGAGAGCATTTTTTTCTGAGACTTTTTGTTCACTAAGTCCCTGATTCCAAGGCTTCCATGTCCCTGAATTCTAATCCTGTTTCCTAAGCTTCAAGATATTCAATGTCTCCTCCTTTCCATAGGATGTTAACAAACTCAGATATTCCCTAACTTGTAAAATACTTTATGTCAGTAGACTGCAAAAGATACTTGAGAGAATACTACAAAGAAGAGGAAGAAAGATACACATAAGCATGAGAGCCTAGGAAAAAATAAATATCACTATGAGACTAGACAACCAAATGAGAAGTAGGAAAGAACCAAACATTACTAACTTAGTAAAGCAGCAAAATTCTAAGTAGTATATATCTCTCAGTAATAAATGAAAGTGTAAGCAGTCTTGACTCTCCAATTAAAAGATGAAGACTGTCTGGGCACCAGTGGTTCACACCTGTAATCTTAGCTATGCATGAGGCGGAGATCAGGAGCTTGCCGTCTGAAGCCAGCCCAGGTGGACAGTTCATGAGACTCTATCTTGAAAATACCCCATATAAAACAGGCTGATGGAGCCACTCAGGCAGTAGCACACCGACCTAGCAAGCATGAGGTCCTGAGTTCAAAACCCCAGTACTGTCAAAATACAAAGAAATAACCAAAAAATATGCAGATTGGCTAAACAAATTAAAAAACAAGATCCAAATAATTTATCTACAAGAAAATCACCTCACTAGCAAAGACACATACAGATGCAAATGAAAAGAACTGAAAACAGTATTCCAAGCAAACAGACTCCAAAGCAAGTGTGAGTAGCCATGCTCACAACTGACAAAGCAGCCATCAAGGCAGAATTAGAAGAAATAAAGAAGGTAATCACATATTAATAAAGGGAACAATCCATCAAGGTGTAACTGTAGATATACATGCACCAAATGTTGTGCAATCAATTTCATAAAATGAGCATTACTGGACTAAAGGGACAGGTAGGTCCAGATACAGTAAGGGGTAGTTTTAACACTCCCATTCTCATCAACTGAAAGATCATCTTGACAAAAACAAAAACTAACAAAGAAACTTCAGTTTAGCTTGTACACAAATCAAAGGACTTAACAGACATGAACAAAATATTCTATCTAACATCTACAGAAAATACATTCTTCTTACCAGCCCATGGAACATTCTTCAAAATGGACCACAGTTTAGGACACACAAAAAATTGAAATAATTTCTTGTATCTTATCAGATTGTAATGGAATAAAATCAGAAAATCAATAGCAAGAGAGAAACTATACAAACACATGGACATTGAAGAAAACATTTTTAATGATTGGTAGGTCACTGAAGAAATCAGGGAGGAAATAAATAAGAACACAATTTACTAGAACCTCTGAGATACAGCAAAGGCAGTTTTAAGTGGGAAGTTTATAGCTATGAGTACCATTAAAAAATGAGAGAAATCTTAAGCAAATAACCTAATTACGTATCTCAAGTTCTGAGAAAAATTAGAAGAAGCCACACCCCAAATTAGTAGATGAAAAGAAATAATAAAGACCAGGGCAGAAATTAATGAAATGGAGACTAAAAGAATACTACAAAGGACCAATGAAACAGAGTTAATCAAACTAACCAAAGTAGAGAGAAGATCCAAATCAATAAAATTAGAACTAAAAAGAGATTTTTCAATAGATACCACTGAATTTCAGAGAATCATAAGGGAATATTTAAAAAACTTATATTCCAAGAAATGAAACTGGAAAATCTAGAAGAAATGGATAAATTTCTAGACACCTGTGTCCTACCAAAACTGAACCAAGAAGATATAAACAACCTAAACAATCCTGTGATAGATAAGCAATGAGACTGAGGCAGTCATAACATTCCTCCAACAAAGAAAAGCCCAGGACTGGATGGATTCACTGCTGAATTCCATCAGACCTTTGAAGAAATGACACTAATGCTCCTCAAACTGTTTAGGGAAGGAATGGTTCTAAACTTGTTCTATGAAACAAGTATTACCCTGATACACTGGGTAAGATACAACAACAAAAAAAGAAAATTATAGATCAACATCTTTAATGCATATAGACATAAAAATTCTCAATAAAATACCTGTAATTCAAATTCAACAATACATTAAGATTATCATAAACCATGATCAAATTAGTTTCATTCTAGGTATGTATGCAAGAAGGTTCAACATACAATATCAATAAATGTAATACAGCACATAAATAGAATTAAGCATAAAAATCACATGGTCATCTCAATAGATACAGAAAATGCCTTTTGACAAAATTCAACACCTTAATGGTAAAAGCTCTAAAGAAACTAGGGATAGAAGGATCATACCCCAACATAATTAAGGCTATATATGACAGCCAATAACCTAAATTATACTGAATGTGAAAGCATTTTCTCTAAAATCAGGAATGAGACAGGGTGTCCATTTCTCTCTAGTCTTAATCAGTATAATAAATTCTTAGTAAGAAAAATAAAGCAAGAAAAAGAAATAAGAGGATACAAATAGGGAAGCAAGAAGTCAGATTATTCCTATTTGCAAGACAATATGATTCTATACTGATAAGACCCTAAAGACTCAGCCAAAAGACTTCTAGGCATAATAAACTCAGCAAAGCAGCAGGATACAAAATCAACATACAAAAATCAGTTGCTTTTCTGTGTCCTAATAACATACATACTGAAAAAGAAATCAGGAAAACAATCCCATTCAACATAGCCTAAAAAAAATGAAAGAAAACCGAGAAATCAACCTAACCAAGGAAATGGAAGACCTTTGCAATGAAAACTAACAACACTGAATAGAGAAACTAAAGACAACCAGAAGACAAAAAGACCTCCTATGTTCATGGATCAGAAGGATTAATATTGTGAAAATGGCTACATTATAGATAGTAATACAATACCTATCAAAAGTCCAATGGTATTCTTCACAGAAATAGAAAAAAAAAAAGCTCTTAAAATTCATAAGGAAGCACAAAAGACCCAGAATAGCCCAAAGCAATCCTCCTGTGGAGGTACCACAATTCCAGATTTCAAATTATGCTACAAAATCACAGTAACAAAAAACAGCATGGCATTGGCACAACAACAGACACATAGATCAATGGAATTAGATTAAAGGACTCAAAGAAAAGTCCACACAGCTACTGCCACCTGATTTTTGACAAAGGTACCACAAATGCACATTAGAGAAAAGATAGCCTCTTCACAAATGGTACTGGGAAAACTGGATATTAGAAATTGAAACTAGACCCCTGCCCCCATACAAAAAAAAGGATCAAAGATCTTAGTAAGACCTAAAACTTTGAAACTACTAGAGGAAAACATAATACTTTAAGATACAGGCATAGGCAAAGACTTTCTGAAGAGGACTCCAGGAGCTCGGGAAAAATGGCAAGAATCGACAAACGGGATTGTATCAAATTAAAAAGCTTCTGCATAGCAAAGAAAACAATTAACACATTGAAGAGGCAGCCTATAAAATGGGAGGAAATCTGTGTGCTATTCATCTGACAGGGGATTAATATCCAGGATATATAAAGAACTCAAAAAGCTAAACAACAAAATAACAAATAACTCAACTGATAAATGGATAAATTACTTAGTTCTCAGAAATACTGCAAATGACTAATAAATATGTATGAAAAAATATTCCACATATTTAGCCATCAGGGAATGGCTATCATCAAAAACAAAAAAATGCTGGCAAGGGTATAGAGGTGGTGGCGGGAAGAAACACTCATACACTGTTGGTGACATTGTAAACTGGTCCAGCCACTATGGAAATCACTTTGGCGGGTCCTCCAAAAAACCAAAATTAAGCCAGGCATAGTGGTACATACCTGAGATACAAGGTACTTGGAAGGTGGAAGGAGGAAGATCACAAGTTTGAAGCCAGCCTGGGCAAAGTTAGCAAAACCATATCTCATAAAACAAGTGCATTATAGACATGTATGAAAATTGCTAACAAAATCCATTAAAACAGAATCCATAAAACAGAATGCAGTAAGGTGCCTATGTACAAAACTGATATACATACCATTAGAGTACTAAGCAGAAGCAACAAAATAGTTAGAAAATAGAAGGATCCCATTCATAAAAGCAATAAAAGACACTAACTATTCAAAGAAATGTTTAAGGTTTGTATGAACAAAGCTCTGAATTCCACAAAGGAAATAACAAAACCAGAACAAGTAGGTTAAGTGTTCTTGGATGGAAAGAGCCATTACTATACAGATATCAAATGTCGGCTAAATTAATTTATATTTAATGTAATCTCCATGAAAACAGCCACAAAATTTTTTAGATGAACTGATCTAAAGTTCATATGAAACAAACAAACAAATGTGCCAGAAATAGCAAGAGAAAAGTATGGAGAAATAGTAATGATGGGTTTGAGTAGTTCTACTAGAACTTAGGACCAATTTTAAAACTGTTTAGCAATTAAAGCAGTAAATGAATAGGTCAATCAAAAAGACTGCAGAAATAGACCTAAGATATGTATGAGATTTTAATATATGCCAGCATCTTTTAGGAAAAAAGATGTGATAATAATGCTGGGTAACTGAGAAGCCATTGGAATAAGAAAATATACAGCCCTGACCCTCATTTTCAAATGCAAGATTAATAAAGAGTAATATAAATCAAACTGTAACAGTATAAAGGTTCTGAGAGCTTTCAATATATCAACTCTTGAAACACATTTGTGAGACTGCAACTATTATGGTTCCCCCTTTTATAAATAAGGAAACTCAGTTTAGCTAGTCCAAAAGTGCCAACATTGGATCCGAACCAAGGCAGTTCTTTGTTCTTAATCAAATAGAAAATGTAGAATCTACAAGAGAAAACAAAAAGGTAAATCTATACAAAAATAAATGTTTCTGTATTGTAAAAGCAAACACCACACATTGTTTTAAACAGCTTAGGACAGAAATTTAGAAAGATCCATGAATAATGTGTACTCTACTATACAACAGAATATTATAGTTGTTTATAAAATGAGGCAACTTTATAGATATTAATTTGGAATAATCTATAAGATAAGCCAAACAAAATAAACACCATGAGGAGAAATCTGAGTGGACTGGGGACTAAATGGAAGAGATACTTAAGAGGTAATATGTTCTTTATATTCTTTGATATACCTGAATATAAAATGCAATGTAAAAATACAAAGCAATTATCTTCACATGAACTATGGAAAATGTGCATAACAATGTCCCTTGTAACAAACCTTTTAGGCAAAGCAAAGCCCAGTAATCAAACCATAGGCTTCTCCTACACCTTCTTGGGGCTTTGTCCACTACCTTATTTCAAGCAGTTCTCTCTGCTTGGCTTTAAGGACACTATCATGGATGTGCTGCTCTAATTCTTATATTGATCCTCTATCTCTTCTTCTTAGTAGTCTACACAGAGGATGACTACTATAGTATAGTTTCTAGCCCTCTACCATTTTCTTTCTAAACTCTTTTTACACGAAGATCATCCACTCTCAGTTGGTGTCAGTTTCTTTTATGAGTACTCTAAAATGGAGACTGTAATTCTCAAATCCTTTATTTAATGTTTCCTATACAAATAGGTTAATTTTCTAGCCTCCCAAGGTTTATCAATGGCATTGCTGTTCCCCTCTGAGATAAGTGGTGTAACTCCTGCATTTTATAGGTGAGAAAGAAAACTGGTCTTTACTTTTTCACTGACACTGCCACTTTATGGCAGGATTCTAATTGCACCCAACTAATAGGAACAAATATTATAAATTCTGAGGGGGATGGGTAAGAGTATTATGCTGCTACAAACACATGAGCTTTTAAATGGACCCAACTACAACTCCTTTCTTTAAAATCAGACTTGCTTTAAGAGGAACCCCTCTGTTTATCAACAGTGTCCTGGCTGAGAGTCAGAAAATAAACTACCTAGAACTGGCTTCTCACAATGAGGAAGAAGGTACTACAGACAGCTCACATAACCATTTATCTATCCTGGGCTTATATACTTCAAAGGATTTTTATAATTCCAATGGCTTAGCTTGCTTGAATGACACATCCAGTGATACCATATGTAGTACCTGGCTAACAGGAAGAGCTCACCAAATGGTTGGTATTATTACTACTTTTGTTATTTCAAAATATCAATTTTAGGTCATCAACACTGATCTTTTCAATGTCAAATAACTTCAAGGCAGGTAGTTAATTACACACAGTATATAAGTCTGATGATAAAGACCAGCTGTGGGGTAACATATCCAAAAAGGGTATGACCACTTAAAGAAGGGAAAGAAAGAAAAATGGGAAGTCAATCATCCATTCATTAAATAAAAAGGTTTAAGTGACAGAAAGATGGAACATGTAACAAACAAAAATAGAAAAAGCCAATGACACCAGAACATAAAATACATGAAATCTAACGATACTTCATTGAAGACTTATCTTTTCCTAGGCAGAAAATCAGCTTCAAGTGTAATATCATGACAAAACCATACAGATATCTATACAAGTTTTTACAAACTTACCTTATTATTGCAAACATAGAATTGAAGTTCTTACACTCTCGACAATGAAGAGCAATTTTAATAAAATGCTTAATAATCTTCATTCGTTTGAGCTGGTTAGATTCAGTTAAAATCTCTGAGGCAACCCAAAATGTCTCTTGGTTTACAATGTCCTCAAACTCTTTCAAGTGAGCATTTCCTGTTTTGGAATCTAACTTAAAAAGGTCATCAATGTATTCAGTAGGCTCAATATTACGAAATAAATCAAAGTCCCTCATTGATAGCTGGGTCGCCACCTCAATGGTACTGAGCTGCAGCATGGATAGCTGACTTTCTTTAACTAGTTCTTGAGCATCTTCATCTGAACATAATGTTCTGTTTCCATGTTATTTTTTTAAATAATACCTGAAAGGAAAAATTTTTTCATAAATGTGGATCTTAAGAGCACTTCCCTCTTTATTACTGTCTCAAAAGTATCATTTTACCATTCGTTTTTGCCAAAAACATTAGCCTACTATTCACTTACATATGGAATGGAAAATTAACATTTTAAATAAGGACTTGTCCTCTTATCTACCATTTGACACCTATTATTGTAAAAAGTAAAAATAACTTGATGATGCCATGAATTTAATCATTACTGTTCATCAGGTGTAAGTAATCAGGTGTGTACACTCAATGAGGACAAAGCCAGGATCTACAATATTATCTGCTGTAGGTTGAATATGAAATGTCTCCCACAGGTTCACAGGTTTAACATGTGGTTCGTCCCCAGCTGCTGGCATTATTTGGGAGTTGGGGGAAACTGAGGATGTGGGCCTAGCTAGAGGAAGTAAGTCAGTAGAGATGTGCCTTTGAAGGTATATACCTGGTACCCAGTCCTGTTCTCTCTTTCAGCTTCTTGGGTGCCACAATGTGAGCTGTTCTGCAATACCATGCTGTTCCCACCATCAAGGACTGAAACTTGTAAAACTGTAAGCAAAATAAATTCTTCCTCCCTTAAGTTGTTTGTGTCATGTGTTCTCTGACATGAACAAGAACCAACTAACAGAAAATTGTTACCAGAGAAGTGATGCTGTTGCTATGACTAAACCTGACCATGTGGTTCTTAAGCTTCTGGAATTAGTTTGTGGGAAGAATCTGGAAGAATTTGGAGATGTGGGATACAGAAGCCCTAGAATGCTGTAAGCTCAGTTTAATGGGTGATTCTAATGGCAGCTCACAAGAGCAGAGTACCAACAGAAATGTGGACAGTAAAGACTGTCTGTGCTCATGAGGTTTCAAATGGGAATGCTGGCTCTTTGGAGAATTAGACCAGAGGCTATTTGTGCCATTCTGGCTAAGAACCTGTTTACATTTTGTCCATGTCCTAAGACTCTGGGAGCCTGAGTTTAAAAGTGACAAATTAATCTGGCAGAGGAAATTTCAAGGCAGTCTTAGCATTCAGGCTGTGCATGGATATTGCTGGCTGCTTTTACCAAGGCTTACAAATGAGAATCAGGAGCAAAAAGAAAAGCAGAAAACTTGCAGTTCTGTTAAAAAAGGGTAAAGAAGGCATGGTTTCTGAGGAAATTAGCACCAGGATAGTAAACATGACTTGAGGGCATCTCAAGAATTGGCCAGATCCCACCTATACCTGCCTCAAGGGTATAAATGTGTAAGCTCATGAAAGACTTGGACTTCTGAACAAGACTAGAACTGTTAAGACTTTGGAGACTCCTGGAACCAGACTAAATGCACTGAGATGGCCGTGAGCCTTTGGAAACCAGGGGTGAAATGTTATAATTGAGTGTGAAATATCTCCAAAGGCTCATGTTGAATGTTTGGTCATGTCAGGTAAAAGAGAAACTGACTAACACATTATCTGACACATAGTTGGTATTATATGATTATCTGCTCAGCATGAAGTCTGAGCCAGGCAAAATAAACACATGGATAAGAGACTGTTTAAGTCTCTATTCAGAAGCTGTGCTGGACTCATTTCCTTCTCTTCACCTCACACCAATTTCCAAGTGATGCAAAGAAAAATAAAGTCCATAAATGAGAGGGAAATTCTTCTATTAGTAGGTTCTCCCATACTAAACACAATTCCCATCCCAGCAAGAGGTAATCATCAACACCTGTCCAAAAAACTTTTACTTCTCTTCTCTTTAGAACACCTCTGTGGCACTCAGAAGCTAGAGACAGGCCGGAAATATACTGTATTAATTGTTATTACGGAAAAAGAGGTAAAATATTGTACCATGTGTAGCCTTTACTTCATTTCTAATAATGCAACTGTTTGTGTCTATCTACTTTTTTATTCTCATAGAACTATAACTCCTTTTTCTGTCTTCATAATGTTCATGTTTAAGAAATGGTATGACAGGAGTTGAAACACCATGCTAGAGAAAATTTCATCTAACATTTATAGGTTTTTTTTTTTTAACTCATTTAATCCTTGCAATATGCCCATTTTACAGGTGAGAAATTCAGGCAAAGAAACTCTGAAGAACTTGTCCAAGGTAACACAGCAGAGCTGGGGTTTGAATTGGCGGCAGTCTGGCTCCAGTGAATATGTCCTTAACTACTATGTGCAGCCTGCAAAGCAACCTCACTTACCCTCTCTTCAAAGGCAACCAGGATGGACAGTCATTTTAAGGTTTCTAAAGATGATGTTCTACATGTAAATCTGTGTCACAAAAAATTCTCTAAAAGAAAGTAACCAGAGAAAAGAACAAATGTGCTACCAAACAATCTTGTAGATTATCAAGTAATTTTCAGAGCACATTTTCAAATATAATTTTCCTGTATTTATAAAGAGAATGTTACTTAGAAAAAGAATATGAAATGGTGTTTTTTTTTTTTTTGCCCAATGTATCCTAGTCATATTAAAAACAAATTCATAAATGAATACATATGCATATTTAGTTTATATACATAATATATAAAGATTTTGGGACACTTGATTTTTCCTCTGCAAAGAAAAAACAGGACTAGAGTACATTAGCAGGAGTGCTTTAAAAACTTGGCCAAACTGTTCTTTCATTCTCCTCACTTTAGTGCAGCTTTTAAGAATACCTCATGATTCCATTTGCATAGTTATGGAGGTAAGAAAAACTTGGAGAAAAGAAATTCTACATTAATTTTAGAGATTCAGTAGCAATAAAACATGGTGTTCCTACTTATAATACCTGTTGTAACAGGGGAATCTTCAAAATCCACATCCTACATATAAGCACATTTTCTTTTATTATTCATATGTGCATACAAGGCTTGGTTCATTCTCCCCCCGCCCCCACCCCCTCCCTTACCACCCACCGCCCACTCCCTCTCTCCCCCACCCTCAATACCCAGCAAACTATTTTGCCCTTATTTCTAATTTTGTTGTAGAGAGAGTATAAGCAATAACAGGAAGGACAAGGGTTTTTTGCTGGTTGAGATAAGGATAGCTATACAGGGAGTTGACTCACATTGATTTCCTGTGCGGTGGGGGTTACTTTTTAGGTTAATTCTTTTGATCTAACCTTTTCTCTAGTACATGTTCCCCTTTTACTATTGGCCTGTTACTTTTAAGGTATCTGCTTTAGTTTCTCTGCGTTAAGGGCAACAAATGCTAGCTAGTTTTTTAGGTGTCTTACCTATCCTCACCCCTTCCTTGTGTGCTCTCGCTTTATCATGTGCTCATAGTCCAATCCCCTTGTTGTGTTTGCCCTTGATCTAATGTCCACATATGAGGGAGAACATACGATTTTTGGTCTTTTGGGGCCAGGCTAACCTCACTCAGAATGATGTTCTCCAATTCTATCCTTTACCAGCGAATGATAACATTTCGTTCTTCTTCATGGCTGCATAAAATTCCATTGTAAGCACATTTTCTAATAAGCTTATTTACCTTCCATTGAGTTGAATTCTATCAGCTAATTTGGAGAACTGGTCCGAAGTCTTCTCTGCTTTATGACACCCTCAGGAGTAACAGAAACTTCACAGAGAGAATATGTGTCAGATGCACCAGTCAAGCAAATTCATGAACAGCATGACAAACTACTTCTTTAGCTGTTGTGTCTTTACTGATGATAATGTAGCAACTTTGTTGATCTGCTTTGAAAACTCTTATAACTTGGTCAGGAATATCTGTATTAATACAAAAACATGCCTTATTATTTTCAAGAAAATTACCTTTAAAACTCTTCAGAAACCAGTATGGAACATAAGGATTCATCTAAACATTGAAATATACATTTCTATTTCATGAAATCAACAGAAATCACAGCTGCATTTATTGGTAAAAACGTATCCATTTTTTCAGGTGACAATATACTAATAAATGTTAGCAAAGATAAAGATTAGGATATTATTATATGATTTGGATGACACAATTTTTTTTCATTTACTGTATTATAACATTTTGATGTCACTCTGTGAAGTAGTCCATAATATGTATTTTATATGCTTTAATTAAACTCCTAATGATAGACATTTAAATTGCTTACTATTTTCCATCATATTAAGACATTATGATGCAGAACCCCCATAAAGCAGGTAAGTTTTTGCAGGGAATCTGATTATTTCCTCAGTGAAAGCCCTCAAAAAGAGAATGCTAATTTACAGGCATGTATATTTTCAAGGTCTTTGAAAACATATTGCCAAGCTGTTCCCCAGAGGTAATATTTTATAATCCTAGAATGTATTGAGACCAAATTTGATCATATCCTTATTAAAACTATTAACAAAATGTTTTGTTTTACTTCTTCATTGTGAAAGTTTATTCTGTTCCTCTCTCCAAAAAGTATGTCCATATTTCATTTTCATTTCTTTGGTTACTAGTGAGATTCAGTAGCTCGTGTATGTACACGTATGTATTTTTCGGGACTTAAAGTTTGAATCTTGTTTATTAGATAAGCACTCTTTCACTTGAGCCATGCCCTCAGGCCTTTTCTTAGGATCTCCCTTTTTGTCTGAGGCTGGCCTCTGACAAGATTCTATCTATGGCTCCCATGTGGATTATAGTGTGCATTATGCTTGGCTTGTTGGTTAAAGAGGGTCTCTGAAACTTTTTCCCTGGGCTTGCCTTGATGATTATCTTCCCAATTTAGCCTATGGATAACTAGGATTGCAGCTAGGATTACTGGTGTGAACCTCTGTTCTAGCACGCGGTACTAGTTAACCAACCATTAGTATTTCTTCTTTTAAAATTTATTTGATATCCTCTATGCTTTTTCCTACTGAATTATATTAGACACCAACACTTATTTTACTGGAGGATTGCAAACTCACTTTTTGTGTGTTTCATATAGTTAAATATCTCAATCTTCACTTGTGATTTGTGCCACTATAAATTCAATCTCAAGATAATGTTGTATGATATACATCAACATGTAAATGTAAATGATATGTCCTCTTCCTCTCTTATTTCCTTTTTTCATCATATAGCATTTGCTGAAGTTCCTGAACAAGTTTTCTGTGGTGACAGTAATTTTTTGTTTCACAAGGCTTTGCACTTGTGAACCAGGCACTCTATCACTTGAGCCATTTCTTTGCCAGCCCTTTTTGTTTGGAACATTTTCAAGATAAGGTCTGAGACTATTTGCTCAGGCTGGCTTTGAAACTGTGATCCTCCTGACCTTTGCCTCCTGAGTAGCTAGGATTACAGTCGTGGAGCCACCAGCGCCTGGCCCTTAGCCCATAAACTTAATGTTATTTAAATGGAATTGAAAAGTGATTTGATAGCATAAGTAAAATCTAATTTCCCCCTATTAAAAAACTGCTGTTGCAAA